TTTTGTTTTATAAAAATACATATTAAAAAAATTTGTAAAATTAATACTATTAACGAAATTCTTAGTGGCTATCACATCACTACAAATAAACTCTTAATTTAATTAAAGATAGATGTGACATCAAATCAATTATAGAGACTTGGAATCAAGCAACATTGTCCATATACAAAACTAGGACTGAGTCAAGGAGCACTTGTCGTGGCTGCTGCGAAGCAAGTGGGTGCCTTTTCATTTTTGTTTTCTTTTTCCATTTTTGTCTCACCCCCTAACGTGCATGACAGTGAAAGGTGAACTTAAAGCCAAGTTGGACACTTACGTCCCAATTTCATTTTCTTTCCTTCTTTTTTTATGCTTTTGAGACGTGTCATCATCTCGCAAAAAAATAAAAATAAAGCTTTTGTTATTTAACGTACGTTGTTAAAGAATTATTATTATTATTATCATTATTTTGATCTTAATTATATAATGAGAAATAATTATTTTTTTATTATTTTATCTCATTCATATATCATATGATTTAAATTAAAAAATTTTTATTTTTAATAAAAAAATAATTATTAATTATTAATAAATTATTTTTAAATTAAAAATTATGAAAAACGCGTTTAGTTGTCGGGTTACGTGTACAAATTTGCCACGTCAATTGTCATCCCCTTGTCGTTTGGATTGAACCTATTTCCTCCTTTTTGACTATAAAGTTGACTCCTAGTGCTTACCACTTCTTAGTCTATATACCCCCTTCCTCCCATGCATAAATTTCGTATTTATATTCTTTCAATCAATAATTTTAAAATTTTCCCTGCATTTTAAGCACCTTGAAGTTTGGTCTATTGTATCAATCAAACCTAAAATTTTAGATTCAAGTATCAAGTAGGTTGAAAGTTTTACTATTACCTATTATTTGAAAAAAAAAATCTCCCTTTTCACAAAATTCTCCGTGTTCAAAAAAAAGAAAAGTTTGGTTTATTTTTTTTTTTTTTTTTTTTTGGCCATTGGTTTATTGTATCATTGATATAGTTAATTTGCTGGCTATTTTTATCTAGGAGTTAAACTTCACACATATTGGAAGACTAATAAGCTTAAATTTTTTAGAAACTCTTTAATTACTTGTTTTTTAGACTTTTTTTTTTGTAATAATCCTTTAACATAGACTTTGAATATTTTAGTTTATAAATTTCACATTCTTGTTGTAATTAGTTTAAAATAGACAAAATATCATCATGTGAATTACGTGGTTATCACTATTCTATTATCATATCATTGTTACTTTATTAGTGTTATACTGATATAAATATGATCAACTATCT